TGTGTAGCGAGGAATTGAATTTGGCACAAGAACAAACAACTGCGCTTCAAAATCTCTCAATCACTGACTCGGCCACGGCTCTCGCTGCATACCGTGGGCGTGGTCGTGGATGCAACAATGCTGGCCGTGGCAGGTCATCAAACCGTTCCCGAAATCGAATAGAGAAGAACGCATCAAACAATATTATCTCTTAAATTTGCTCCAAGACAGGACACTCAGCCATCAAATGCTGGTATCGTCATGACCAATCCTACACGGAAGACACCATCAAGACTGCCCTATTCACTCCATCCGACTCAAACACCACATCAGACTGGTTTCTTGATAGTGGCGCGTCGAACCACCTCACGTCTGAACACTCCAACCTCCAATCCAGCAAACAATACTCCGGAAATCATCAAATCACACTTGGAAATGGCTATCAACTTCCTATTCAAAACTCCGGCAAAGGTATCTTACCGACACCAACAGGTACTCTCTATCTCCAAAACCTTCTACATGTTATGAATCTTTCTTTTAATCTAATCTCCATCTATCGACTAACAAATGACAACAAGTGTACAGTCAAGTTTTCGGCTAATGGCTTCTGCATTCAGGACTCGAAGACGGGTCAAATTCTACTTCGGGGCCCTTGTGTTAACGGACTCTACCCCATCCGATCGACTGCTACCACCTCTAATCTTTCTCTTTTTTCAGCTCAAGAAGTACCTAATCTTTGGCATAGGCGTCTTGGTCACCCGGCTCTCCAGACGCTGCAAACTGCTCAACACTACATTCCTACAATTTGTAAAACTACTTACAATAAACATTGTAATGCCTGTAGCGTGGCCAAGAGCCGTCGATTACCCTTTACTCCTTCTAATACAATTACTTCTCATTGCTTCGAACTTGTTCACTCCGACATCTAGGGGCCTTCACCAGCCACCTCCACTCAAGGCTATAAGTATAATGTTGCTTTTATTGATGATTACTCGAAATTTTCTTAGACCTTTCCTTTAATTCACAAGTCGGATGTATTCACCACGTTCCTTACTTTTAACAAAATGATTAACAATCAATTTAACAAATCCATAAAAACTTTTCGATCTGATGGTGGGGCTGAGTTCATCAACAGCAATTTCAAACAATTATTCAAGAATCTTGGCATCCTTCATCAGTACTCATGCCCTTACACACCGGCTCAAAACGGCGTTGCAGAAAGGAAGCATCGACACATAGTCGAAACCATGCGCAGCATCCTACTTGAAGCCAACCTTCCAGTCGAACTATGGGTAGAAGCTCTAAACGCCTCGGTTTATCTAATCAACAGACTACCGTCTAGAGCTCTTCAAAACAAGAGTCCAAACCAAATTAATATTATACCAAAAACCGCCCGCCTATAATCATCTCAAGATTTTCGGGTGTCTCTGCTACCCATGGCTCCGACCCTACAGCACCTCCAAGCTCTCGCCGTTCTCCATCTCGTGTGTCTTCATAGGCTATGCCTCGACTCAGAAAGGTTACCGCTGCCTAGATCCGAAAACAGGTAAAGTATACGTCTCTCGGCACGTTATCTTTAATGAGGCCATTTTTCCATACCATCAACCTGACTTCAGCCTCAAAACAACCTCTCCAAACAACTTTGTCCCACCTCTACTCCTTGTACCCACCAAAATAAATCAACCTCACACCTCTTGTCAACCGACCAACACTCAGCCTAGGCAAACTTCCACTGCTACACATCCGGTTCCTCAACCAACTAATGACATCCACTCGACAATTAAGCCCAATAGACCTGAATCCTCTTGCATTTTACCTTACCCCGATACTACTGCCATTCCTACTACCTTACCTCATCCTCAGTCTACACATATCATGCAAACTCGGTCCAAAACAGGGCATTCAAAGCCGAAGCAGGTTTTCTCTCTTGTCCATATTATTCAAGATTTCGATCCAACCACGTACAGAGAAGCCGCGAAGTCTCAGGACTGGATCAAGGCTATGCAAGTTGAATTCCAAGCTCTTCAATCTCAGCATACATGGGACTTGGTTCCTCCGGACTAAACACAAAACGTGCTCAGTTGCAAGTGGACATACCGCACCAAGTACCTAGCCGATGGATCCATTGCACGTCATAAAGCACGCCTTGTGGCTCAAGGCTTCTCCCAAGAATACGGCCTCGACTACGCTGAAACATTCAGCCCCGTCGCCAAAATGCCAACGGACCGGATTCTCATAACCATAGCAATGCATCGACAATGGTCGCTTCATCAGCTGGACGTGTCCAATGCCTTTCTTCACGGCAACCTCAGTCACACTGTTCATATGAAACAACCAGTTGGATTCACCGACAAGAACTTTCCGAATCATGTTTGCCGATTGCGCAAGTCACTCTATGACCTAAAACAGTCTCCGCGTGAGTGGTTCGCCACTCTATCCAGTTACCTCCAGACCCTCGGCTTCAATTTCAGTCACTCAGACCCCTTACTACTAATCTACAACCGCAACGGCATCCAAATGTTCTTCCTTGTTTATGTAGACGACATCCTTCTCACTGGCAACAGCAACTCGGACATTCAGAACCTGCTACGAAATCTTCACAATAAATTCACTATGCGGGATCTCGGCTCCCTCTCCCAATTCCTGGGCATTCACGCGGTACCTACCTCATATGGGCTTCATCTTACGCAAAGCCAATTTGCTCAATCCATACTATCCCGTGCAGGTATGTTAAACTGTAATACCGTTTCTACTCCCTCGCAAACACAAACGTCTTCATCGTCAAATTTATCCGCTGCATTCTCTAACCCAACTCTTTACCGTCAACTCGCCGGATGTCTTCAATATCTCACTCTCACACGACCGGACATCGCCTATGCCGTCAACAAGATCTGTCAGCATATGCAAAGTCCAACGAATTCACACTTTGAAGCTCTCAAAAGATTACTCCGGTATATTCAAGGATCCCTTCACACCGGTCTTCCAATATTCCGAGATGCACCGATCCTTCAATCATACGCAGACTCAGACTGGGCCGGGGACGCCGACGACCGCAAATCAATTTTAGGGTACTGCAACTTCCTTAGCTCCAATCTGATCTCCTGGAGTGTCAAGAAACAGAATGCAGTTGCTCGCTCATCCACCGAAGCTGAGTACCGGGCACTCGCCTCTGCGGCAGCCGAAATCACCTGGATTCGTCGGCTACTACAGGAATTGAACTGCTCCCAGACTACCACAACTCCTCTCTTCTGCGACAATGTCTCGGCCATAGCTCTGGCCAACAATCCGGTGTTTAATGCATTAACGAAGCACATCAAAGTCGACTGTCACTATATCCGGCATTGCATAAAGGACAACACCATTCGTGTTCATCACATTCCCACGAAAGATCAAATCGCGGATCTCTTCACAAAATCACTCCCCTCTCCGCGGTTTAAGCTTCTCGCCGGCAAGCTGGTTCAACCATCGGACTCACCATCTTAAGGGGAGATATTAGACATAGCCATATATATGTAAATACTTTCACTTTCCACGTGTAATATTGTAATTGGTCTCTTCATGTCTAGCTCAACTATTTATATAGCATTGTACCTCTGTTATCATGAATATAGAATTACTCCTTCTGTTTCTATCTTCTTGCTTATCTTTCATTCTTGTTTCGGTTCTACCATGGCTGAAGCTTTCATTGTTAAGGAAAAATGAGCATTGACCTTGATGCTAAAGGCCTTTTGGAGATTAGGGCTATCAATGCAAGGAGAAATAATTTTGTGCGGAGTTTAGATAGAAAGAATTGTCCGGATTTGTTGCGTATTCACTGAGTATTTATTGTAAGTATTTGTTAAGTATTTACTAAGTATTATTGACTTGATGTGTATTTACGGAGTATTTATAAATAAGCATTAAATACTCAGTGAATACATAGTAATTAGTACGGTTCTTTTCGTCTGGACTTCGCATAGAATAATTTCCCCCAAAAAAATCCTTTGTCCAAAGGCGGATCGACCCCCCCCCCCCAAAAAAAAAAAATTAAAAATAAATCGGGTTTAGGCTTTATTAGGTTTACTGGGTTCAGCACTTCAGCCGCAAGTAATACCCTTCTGATTCCCCCCCGTTTCCGCAATCTCGCCTCCTGCCTCCGGACTTCGTGATGAGAAACACTGCAGGCGGTGGCAGACAACGGCACGCTTTTACTTCCCAGCCACGGCCAGACGGATCTCGACTTCTCACACATCTTTTTTTTTTATAAGTTATAATGATTTATTAGTTGCATGAACTTTACTGTTAATTTGGATGGAATTTGCTAATATTTTGATGATATTTTTTCATTGTTTCTTTTATACGGAATATTGAAAATTTCTATCGCACTTTTGGTTTTTGTCAGAATAGTTATTGGAATAAACAGTAGAGCTTGATTATGGAGAGATATTTTAAACGATCTTCAATTCCAAATAAATCAAATGATAATTACAATCAGATTGAAGTTCATGACGAAAAGCGTATTCGAGTGGATGTTTTTTCACCCAATAATATAGATGTAAATGTTGAAAATCTTCCATATGATCCGGTATTACGAATTCTCATTGTTGACTTTAATCATAATATTTGGGATGAAGTCCGGAGAATATATTTACAACGAGGGACACTTCAACCTCGTAGTCATGAATTTCCAAAAACCAAATTCGGGATGAAAGACAGACGATTTAATCCTACTTGGTTTGACAAGTACTCTGACTAGTTAGAGTATAGCATAAGCAAAGACAAATCATATTGTCTTTATTGTTATATGTTCAGAAAATCAGGTAGAGGCAATGAAGAGGAAGAAGCCTTTAATAAAAATGGATTTTTGAATTGGAAAAAAACAAATAAATTTGATCTTCATGTAGGAGGTCAGAACAGTGCACATAATAATGCTAGACGTAGTGCTGAAGACCTACTGAATCAGAGTCATCATATTGGGTTTGTGTTCCAAAAGCAAACAGATCAAGCTACATCTGCATACTGTATTCGCCTCACTACTTCTATTGATTGCATAAGATTTCTTTTAAAACAAGGGCTAGCTTTTCGAGGCCATGATGAGTCTTCTACATCTAAAAATCAGAGTAATTTTCTTGAATCGGTGTAATTTTTGGCTAAACATAACAAAGACATAGACGATGTGGTTTTAAAGAATGCTCATGAGAATTTAAAGTTAATTGCACTTAATATTCAAAAAGATATTACCAGAGCATTCGTTATTGCTATTACAAATTTTATATCTAAGGAGATTGGTGACAAATTTTACTCAGTTTTAGTTGATGAATCACGTGACACATCTGCTAAGGAGCAAATGGCAATCGTAATCCATTTTGTTAATAAGACAGGAGAGATAGTTGAACGTTTTTTGGGGATTTCTCATGTATCAGATACCACTGCAAATAATCTTAAAATTCCCACTGAACAACTCCTATCAACATATGGTTTGAACATATGTAGAATACAAGGTCAATGCTATGATGGTGCTAGTAATATGAGAGGGGAGTTTAATGGTCTGAAAGCTCTATTTCTGAATGAAAATCAATCTGCACATTATATTCATTGCTTCTCACATCAGCTTCAATTAGCATTGGTGGCGGTGGAAAAAAGTCATGTTCATATTGCTTTGATGTTTACTATCATTTCAAGTGTAATGAATTTGGTTGGTGTTTCTTGTAAGCGTCGCGACCAAGTTCGAGAAATACAACATGAGAAGACATTAAATGAATTACAAAGTAGAAATCTTTTATCTGGGCAAGGCTTAAATCAAGAAATAACACTTAGGCGTGCTGGTGATACGCGGTGGGGTTCACACTATGAATCAATTTTAAGATTAATTACAATGTTCTCTACATTTATTGATGTTCTCGAAAACATTTTGGAAGAAGGCTTGAGCTCAGAACAAAAAGGTAAGGCATATGCTTTATTAGAATCGTTACAGACCTTTGAGTTTACCTTTTGCCTACATCTTATGAAAGATGTTCTTGGTATCACTAATGAACTATCACAAGCTTTACAGAGAGGTGAACAAGATATTGTTAATGCTATGTCTTTGGTGTGTATATGTAAATGACGAATCCAAGATATGAGAGATAACAAGTGGACTTACTTCATCAGTAATGTAACCACATTATGTGAGCAACAACATATCAATGTTTCACATATGGATGACAAATGAGTTGCTCGTGGTCGGCCACGCCGTAGAGCTCAAGATATAACAAATTTATATCATTTCCGGGTTAAAAATTTTTACACTGTGCTTGATATGCAGCTTCAGGAGTTGAACAATCGTTTTATAGAAGTAAATACCGAACTGCTTTTGTGCATGACATGTTTGAATCCTAATAATGGATTTCATGCATTCAACAAAGATAAGTTGATTCGAATGACACATTTTTATACAACTGATATTAGTCTTCTTGATCAGGCAGTTCTTGAAAATCAATTGGATACTTATATCATGGATATGCGATCTAATGATCAGTTCACCTCATTTCAAGATATTGGAAGTCTTGCTGAGAAAATGATCTAATGCAGGAAGGATATAGTATATTATGTTGTTTTTAAACTACTGGAATTGGCAATGGTATTACCCGTTGCTACAGCAGGCGTTGAGAGAGCATTTTCTGACATGAATATTATAAAAAATCGACTGCGAAATAGGATTGACGATCAATGGATGAATGATTTATTACTTGCTTATGTTAAAAAAAAAATTGGATTCTATTGATAATGAAGTAATCATTCAATTCTTTCAGAATATGAAGAGTAGACATTAAAAATTGTAAGTTGTTTACTCTTTTATATTTAATATTATATATTTTTGGATAATTATTAATAAAAAATTTTTAAAACTGTCTATGCCGGTCCCAAGCCCGGATGAAAAAAGTTGAGGAAAATTTTAATAACATAATTTAGGCCCCCCTTGATCAACTTTCTGGCTCCCCCACTGCCTTTGTCTTCATTTAATTGTTAATATTTAAATATTTTGTATAATGGCAGTAAATATAATTATATTATACTAATACATCATAATTCTTAACTAAGATTATATGAATAATCTCAATGATCATCTTAACATTTGGGAAGATATTCAAATATTTTTACGGAGTTCTAGAATATTTATGGTGGCAAAAAAATATAGTTTGATGTCCTATCACAAATAGGAACTTTTATTTGGTCTGGTCACCTGACGTAGCTCTACGTTCGGGCGCCAGTAAAATAGTGCCACGTGTTCTCACTATTTACCGCGTGGCCCGACAACCCCGACCCGGAAAGGAGACGGGATTGCAATGTTCGCGTGTTGCTATGTACTGCTCGGTATTTGCTCGGTATTGGTCGATTTTGCTCGGCAATAACGAGAAATACCATTCTGTGAAGATCAATACCGAGGAATACCCTCGATATTGCTTGATATTTCTTAGTATTGCTCGGTATTGGTCTTCACATAGCGATATTTTTCATTATTGTCAAGGAATACCTAGCAATACCGAGCAATATCTAGCAATACCGAGCAATGCCTAGAGCAATACCGAGCAATACGCGAACATAGCAATCCCGAGTCAAGTCATCGGGCCGCACGGTATTGAGTAAGACCACGTGACGACATGTTATTGATGTCCGAACATAAAGCTACGTCATATCACCTGACCTAATAATTGTTCCACAAATAAATGAAAGAGAGAGTTGAATTAGTCATATTAGACAACAGGGCCATCAGAACTGCTATTGAACCCAATGCTCCCCGAAACCATTGCCCGGAGACGAAATGCTCATTAATCGAATCCATCGCTCCCTTCTCCACTACCTCACCGGCTCAAGCCGTCTCCGGCCACCGCCGCGGGAATGGATCGAACCCTACATCGACATCTCCGACCTAGCCCACCATTCTCCTCACGACCCCCAGCCGTCCCCATGGCTACTCCGCATCCTCTCCCTCCTCGTCTCCTCCTCCACCCCCGAATCCGACCTCCGTTCCTTCTGCGGGTCCTTTCTCATACGTCTCTCCCCCCGCTTCGTCGCTGCCGCACTTCGTCACCCCTCCCTCCTCCCTCACTCCGCTGCCGCCGTCGCCCTATTCCGCTTCGCCGCCGCACAACCCTCCTTTGTCCACTCCCTCGAGTCATACATCTCCCTCTTACACCTCCTATCCTCCTCTCCGCCCTCCACCGCCAACGCTCGACTAATCTTCGCCGAGCTCATAGAACGGGACGACCTTATACTCACTCCCACTGCTGCAGGCTCCCTTCTGCGATGCATCGCATCCCTTGGCCTAGTCGAGGAACTTCTATGGACATGGAGGAGGATGAAGGAGTGCGGAGTGGAGCCCTCCCTGACAAGTTACAACTGCTTGATGGACGGCCTCGTGAATTCGGGTTTTGTTGATTCGGCTGAGAAGGTATTGGAGGTTATGGACAGTGGCAATTCCGGCGATAGTGTCCGGCCCGATGTTATCTCCTATAATACAATGATCAAAGGCTACTTGAAGACTGGGAGAAACGATAAGGCAGCGGCAAGGTTCCGAGAGATGTCGGCGAAGGGCGTGGATCCGGATAAGGTAACTTATATGACTCTAATCCAATGTCATTATGCAGAAGGGGGGTTTTATGATTGCTTGTCTCTTTACCATGAGATGGAGGAGAAGGGAGTCGAGGTTCCTCCGCATGCTTATAGTTTGGTGATTTCGGGGCTTTGCAAGGAAAGCAGGCCTTTTGATGCACGGATGTTGTTCGATAAAATGTCTGAGAGGGGTTGCAGGGCGAATGTGGCTATATATACTGCACTGATTGATTCGTTTGCGAAGCTTGGCGATGAGGAGCAGGCTATGAGACTTCTGCAGAAGATGAAAGACGATGGATTCAAGCCTGACGAAGTCACTTATGGCGCACTTGTCAATTGTTTGTCAAAGGCGGGGAAAATGGACAAGGCAATGGAGTGTTTTGAGTTCTGCAAAGCAAATGGAATTGTGGTGAATTCCATCTTTTACTGCAGCCTCATTGATGGGTTTGGTAAGGCAGGGATGGTGGATGAGGCTGAGAGGCTCTTTAACGAGATGGAAGTTAATGGCTTTGTGCCTGATTCGTACTGCTACAATGCACTTATTGATACATTTGCAAAGGCTGGAAGGATTGACGATGCGCGCTCCATGTTTGAGAGGATGGAAAGGGAGGGTTGTGACCAAACGGTCTACACTTACACTATAATGATTGATGGGTTATTCAAGAAGCACAAGAACGAAGATGCATTGAAGCTCTGGTGCAGAATGATCGATAAGGGTATAACTCCCACCCCAGCCTCATTTCGTGTCCTTTCCATTGGGCTCTGTCTTTCAGGAAAGTTCAACAGAGCTATGAAGATCCTGGACGAGCTTGCACCCATGGGTGTTGTTCCTGAAAATGCTCATGAAGACATGATTAAGGTTCTTTGCAAGGCTGGGAGGATTGAGCATGCTTGCAAACTAGCTGATGAGATTGTTGATAAAGGCCGGGAGGTCCCTGCGAAGGTTCGAACTATGATGATAAATGCACTTAGGAAGGCGGGGAATACTGAATTGGCCATCAAGCTGGTGCATAGTAAGATAGGTATAGGTTATGATAGAGTGGGGAGCATCAAAAGGCGAGTCAAGTTTGTTACTTTGTTGAACCTTTAGAAGAAAAAAACTATTTTTTCTACATTGATCTGTCATGGCGTGGTTGTGAAGGAGAGGCATTTTTGTTCCTCTTAAGGGCCACCAAATTGCTCAGGGATTCATCCGAAGCTATCATGATCATTCCTTGATTGTGAGGACATGATTAACGTTCTTTGCAATGCTTGCAAAGTAGCTGATGAGCTTGTTGATGAAGGCTGGGATGTCCCTGTGAAGTTTAGAATCATGCTGATAAATGCACTTAGGAAGGTGGCGAATGCTGAACTGGGCATCAAGGTGGTGCATAGTAAGATTGGTATGTGGGAGTTCCTTAATTTGTTGAACCTTTATAAGCAAAAAACCATGAAGTTCTACAAGGATCTGCCATGGCGTTGTGGTGGAGAAGCGGCGTATATATTCATTAAAGAGCCTCCTTATTAGTCAGGGATTCATACAAAGCTATCAAATACCATTATTTGATCGTTCCTTTATTGTGAAGTATCAAGCGTCGCAAAATCATTGGAGTGATCTTAGGGCATCTCCAGCCGAACTCCAAACGACCGGAAGGCGTAGCTGGTTTGCTCCATTCGAATAGCAAAAAATATTGCTAGTCGGTGGAGGGTGAGCAATGCGACGCCAACATTTGTGTTACACTGTTCACCTATGCGATTTTTCCTTTCTCAGCCAGATTTGCCGAATAAACGTGTCAAAGAAGAGAAAGACGGTTACCTTCATAGAAGCACACAAAATGGAGTTTGATTGGAGATGAATCACGGCATTTTTAAGTTACTGTATTTTGGAGTGAAAAATGGGATTTTAGATTTGAGATGCCCTTAGAGGAGACCTTCCGGGTTAATTGCGAATGTTTGTGAAATCAAACTGCCGTTTTTTGCAGATTTGCTGGGCAAAAATTTAGGTATCACCGGTCATCGTGGGTCGGTTTGCAGTTCATCTTAGAGTTATTGACGACTCTGAAGATTCTTCTGAATATCAAGGTTTGTATGTTACACACAGTTTGTTTTGATTTGTTTGTTTGGAGTTTTGACTATCTATTTAGAGATCTTGAGTTCGAGTTTTGCGTATGTGATGTGTGTGTAAGTTTGTCTTAATTGACATAAATATAAAAAAAAAATTTGCATATCACAGAGCAGCCAAGAGCGAAAAATTAGAGCTGAGTCTAAGGTTTCGTCTCGGACGACTTTTCTTATTGCTTCTTAAGGCAATTTCTTAGTATAAAATTTTTATTTTATTTACTGAAAAGCTGCTTTAATAAGCAGTAAGAAAATTGTCCCAAACGAAACTTAAGTACTTAATTCACATGTTTTTTAATTAAAGCACAGCAGAATATTGTTGTGCATAAATGTATAATTTTAGAATAGGGTTAACATTAGTTACAATATTCAAAAGAAATAACTTGGGAGAATGTAGATTTATTGAGGAAATAAAATTTTTAGGAGAAGTGGAATAATAGAGATTATGATATGACATCCTTAAAATTTCTTAAGATTTTATTCATAGGAGAAATAAAAAATACAACATATAAAGATCTTGAAGTGCGTCACAGTGAAGATTATAAAAAAATAGCTTTAGCTTTGCTTGTGGCAATTTACAATTTTCTTAAGTAGTTTTATTAAAAGTCTTTTTTCAGCATAAACTCACAATTTTAATAATATTTTTCAGGAAGTAAAATTTTAAAGATAAAATTTAAAACAATGAAGAAAAAGTTTTCTTTTAAATTACAAAAATAGTTTAACAAAGATGAATTTTTAAAAAATAATGTAAAAGTTGTTACCCAATAATATATTATTATTCAAAGTGATGGTGAAGTAGATGATAATATTATCAGTAGAATTCAAATTGGATGGTTGAAGTAGATGAATGCATTAGACCTCTTGTGTGATAGAAAAATATCCTTCAGCTTAAGCAAAAGTTTTATAAGATGATTTGTGAGACCTATAATGCTTTTATGATGCAAAATGTTGGTCATTAAAAAGGCCACCATAAAATAGATGAGTGGCTTCACTCTTGTAGACATAATGCGAAACAATTATATATGTGAACAACAGCTTGAAGTGCCTCTAGTTACAATTAGGTTAGAGGGAGTCGCCTTAAATGATTTGGTAGCATAAAAAGTTGGCCTTTCGCTGACCCGATTAAGAGAGTATATATATTAGATTTAGCCTATGTTAATAAAATGTATTAAAGAAGATTTGGTTATAAAATATTAGAAATGATGTTTTTTTATTAGATTTAAATGAAATTTTGACTCTTAACAAAATACAATGAAGAAAACTGATTCATGTAGCCATCCCCACATAGCGGGATAAAAGCTTGATGTTGTTATTTTCTTATTGTTATTGTAGATGGATACAATAATTATGTCAAAAATAAAAAAAGAAAAATGATTATTTCTTAGACTCTTAGTTAATGTAGGAGCAGATGTTCAAATTTACTTTTTTTAGATAAAATAAAGTAAATATTTCATGCAACACCTTAATTAAGTGTTTCATAAACAATTTAGATAAGATAAATGATGTTGATTTGAAGTAAAATTGGTTTAAAATATTTCAAAAATAAGAGTTTTTGAAAATATTGGTGTTTTATTTAAAGTAAAATTTCGAAGTATTTGAAATTCACAATCTTGTTCAAATTTCGGTGTATTTGAAAATCGCTAGATTGGAATGAGTTCTAAGTATATTGCAATTTTTTGTCATTGCTGCTTCGGTCTCCAATCTCGTCTCCTTTTGTCACCACAAGCCAATCATCATTACCACCTATCGCTAGCCACCCATTAACACTCGTAAGTGCTTGCTATTGTCATGCATCAGCATTGGTTCCCGCCACCCTCCGTCATCACTATCATTGAACTTTTACACTGCATTCATTTTACTTTAACATAAAAAAAAAAATAATTGATCTTATATTTTAAATATATTATATTTCTTCTACGCTGTATTTTTTAACTTATATATATATGGGGCAAACAAAGCGGCCCTAAATGGGCTGGTTTAAATAAGGTGAAGCTATTTCTGCTGCATAAAATGCAAAATTAAAAAATAAAATTCTTTCAATTATTTTAAGTCACTAAAACTGAATATTAGCTTGTTTTGTTGATCTTATACGTCCTGCATTCAAATTAGGGTCGTCAATTTCGGGTAACGGGTTGAGTTTGAGTCGAACCCGAAATTGACCCGACACTATTCAGGTTTGGGTCAACCCGACCCGTTTTTGCAAACTGGTCGATTTTTTGGACCCGAACCGACCCACTTCGGGTTCGAGTCAACCCGACACACTCGGGGTTCGGTCAACCCGATCTGATCCGTGGGACAATGACTGGCGGCAGTGGGTCGACGGCCGGCGGTAGCAAAAGCAGACAGAATTCGAGCGGGAACACCGGGAAGCGAGCGGGACCCGATGCGAATGCTGACAGTTGGCCTCGGGAAGCAACAAAGCAACGCGACGCTAGCAGCTGGCCTCGAGATGTGATGCTATGCTGGCAGCTGGCCTCGGGACACGATGCTACACGACGTAGGCAGCAGGGGCAGCGGGGGCACGCGGGCCGTGGGGCAGACATGTTTCTGGGTCATTACCGGATTCCCGGGTCAACCTGAACCCAATCCGGTTTTTCAAATGTGTCGATTTTACATACCTGAATTCGTCCCGCTTCAAATTTGGGTCAACCTAAACCCGAACTTTTCGGATCGGGTTCAAGTTTTGTCTAATATTTACACCCCTAATTCAGATATTTGCATGTTATGTATTTTATTTATGTCATATCATATTAAATTGTCAAATATATGATATCAGAGTTATAATTGCGCAATAAAAAAAAACTGCTACTTTGATTTATGAATAATTAAAATATTTTTTTATATAAAATTTGTAGCATTATATTATCGTATAAACAAATTACTTTCAGTCCTTTTTTTTACATTAATTAAATCAAATGCTTTAAAACGTTTTTAACGCTCCTGCACAGTTTTCTTCGCTGCCGCTTTTGCTGCGCTGCATCAGATTTTCAAGATGGAGGACATCATCAAGATTAGTGCCATTAAATAATGGATGGCAGATATCCTCAAACGGCGGAGTCCTGGGCGCCTCGTAAATATTTAGCTTCTGTCTTCGGTAAGCTCTCGCCGCAATCACCGTGCTTCTTTTGAAGGAGTGGGCAGCGATGAGAAGCAGACCATTGCAGGCATTCTACACTCTATTTCAGTAGAAATTTATTGATAAATTACCTGATCGGTCGGAGCTGTACCAGATCTCGCATCGCTTCTTTCTCGCGTGAATGGAGATGAGCGCAGAGCCGGCCTCCAACGGCGACACCTCCGCCGCCGTCGCCTTAACCACTCCTGTCTTCACGCCGGCGGAAGCGGCTCAGGCGGCGAAGAACCCCGTGCAAACGGTGGAATCAATCAAACTAGAGCACCAGTTCCTCCGCGTGCCCCTTGAGCACTTGAAAAAGACGATACGAGCCAACCATCGTTATGCGGAGAAGGAGGTGGCTGCCGTTCTTTCCGGAGTGGCCGAGGTAGCGGACCGCGATGATATTTCGAGGGAGGAGGCCGTCAGCCAACTCTCATCACTCGTTTCCAGGCTTCAAGGCCTCAAGCGTAAGGTTTGTGTTTTGTTTCCGCTGTTGTTTTTCGCTTCTTCTGATTCGAAACCCTAATGGTATTTTGGTATGATCAGCTAGAGGATGGGTGTGCGTCTGAGGACTTGCAGGCGCAGAGATGCCGTGCGAGGCTGGAGCACTTGGAGGGTATTGATGCAGATAATATCGATGAGTGGAGCAATACTAGGTTGAAGCGTATCCTAGTGGATTACATGCTGCGCATGTCGTACTATGAGTCTGCTAAAATGCTTGCGGAGAGTAGCAATATATACGTATGCATTCGTTTCTCTGGTTCTTGTCCATTTTCTTCGCTTGAATTGTATGATAGCTCACTCTCTGGATTTTTTCTTCTTCTATAAATCTCAAAGAAAATGAAGAATTTGAATTAAAATTCTATCATTCTCCAGCATCAATTTATTTGATGTTATATGATGATTTGGTTAGTTGATTACTCCCATGTCTATGGTGATTAACATTATATCTTTATGCGTTTAATCAAGTTTTTTTTTTCGCCCTGAATTCTATGGTCTTGTAGTATTAGGTGCCAATATAGTTTAGGTTGAGGGAAATCATTCTTTCCTTCTACTAACAGATAAAACGAAAAACTGTCTCCTTGGCTACCACATTTGTGGTACATTGTATAAATTCCCTCATATGACTTTATTGATTAAATTTTTATGTAGATTGGGTTATGAGTAAGGTTACTTATTAGGAAAACTTTTTCATGATGTCGAGTTGCCTATTAGAATAGGTATGATGAACACACTAAGTAATAAAAAAAAGATCAAGTAACATAAGAAGACATAGATTTACATGATTCAATCACAAAATTAGCTGACATCCATTGAAGAGGATAGAGGATCTGATTGACTACCAAGAAGCCACACATGTGTATGAACAAAAAGGCACAGTAAAGATGTGCTCTAAAATCCTCATTCAAGCTAATCAAGTTAATAAGAAAACATCCAAATATCATATAAAATTTACGAGAGCCAAACAAAAGAGATAATAAACAATTTAAGTAAATTATATCAAAAGATCATCACCTAATGCTGCTCAAATAAGCATACTCTTTCTTTTCTTTTTGTTTGTCAGAAACAACAGTAACACAAGAAGCTTAACAAAAGAATTAATTATCACAGGAAAAAAAAAAGATAATGGTCCAATTTTTCTGTTGTCAGAGACGAAGGTGTGAGTGAGGATTATTATATTCAGTGTAGTATAAGGACAAAAAGTGCAACAGACAATCGGCAGAAGCTGACTTAGTACAATAAAAATGAAGTAAACCATGAAATTCTCCGAATCCATTAACTAAAAAGAGGATGCTATGTATATGCTGGAAGCATGTTGAGTACAGACGCAGCAAGAAAGAAGGATAAGAGAAGCTTTTGTACCTTTGTGGAGCAAGGAAGAAAATATATTGGATAAAATGTGCATGCTATTATTTTTAGAATTCAAAATGAAATAAAAAACTGTATAACCTTACCAAGTAGTCTTCTTGGTAATGGTTTGTGAGTGTAAGAGTAAAACCTAGGTCCATGACTTGCCAGCATTATGCTTGAAAATTTGGAGGAGGATGTCCAAACTGTATTTCTGGGAGGAAGCTAAGAAATTCATGTTTATAGCAATTGCTTTTCAAATACTGCTTATTTGGGAAGAGAAAGAGGAAGTACATCTGAGAATAAAGAGTGACTTGGGCAGAGAGGTAGCTTAGGTCTTCAGGGTCTTGGCTGGTTAACAATCTTCTTAAAGTTGAAAAAGTAAGCAAGAAGGCGATATTGTGTGATAGCAAAAAGTACCTCTAATAGAGCTAGTCATCTAGTGAGGGAAAGGGAGAAGGATAAGGGTTTATCCCAAATAATCAGTTATCCCAAGTAAAACCTGCAATGCTTTATGGTGCAGAATGTTGGCCATTAAAAGAGAAGCATAGGATTAAGTTAAGTGTTGCAGAGATGAGAATGTTCAGGCGGATGAGTGACTTTACTCTTAGGGACAAGGATACGAAACGAGCATATACGTGAAAATGTTGGAGTAGCTCCACTGGAAGATAAGATTAGTGAGAGTCGCCTTAGATGTTTTGGTCACATAAAACGACAGCCTTCCAATGACCCAATTAGGAGAGTAGATTTATTAGATTTGGTTTAAGAAAAGTGTATGTAGACCTAAAAAGACTTGTTTACAAAATATTAGAAATGATATTTATTTATTAGATTTAAATGAGAATTTGACTCTTAATAATACATAATGGTGAAAAAGAATTTATGTAGCGTACCCCACGTAGTGAGATAAATGCTTGATGTTGTTGTTGTTGTAGGTGGAGACATAGACAATGAGTCAAATGAAAGCTCCAATTATTGTTGTATTGATCTTATTCTTTTGTTATGTTGGATGAAATAAAAAAAAATCATACTCACACATAAAATATCAGTTGCTCTCGGTTCAGTTGATATATTCATTTTTTATATAAATCAAAACTACATTTTGAAAAGTTAAGTGAAGGACATGTTTTATGTAATATAGTGGGAAAAAATAAAAATAAGAATTAGAATGGAGGAATCGTCCTCTGCTCTTTTTATAAATAACTGTATATCAGCCACTTGGCCAACGTCTTATTTCAAACTCATAAATAATAGATTATGTCTATATTTATTTTCTATTAGAGCCTGCTCAAAATTAAATCTTAGCAAGCCACCCTTGGCTTGAAATTGACTCAAAAGTATTTTTGAGTCATGATATTGAAATAAAACTCTTGTTATGAGGGTTTTATTTGACAATGAATCGATTCAATTAGCATCAATTAATTTACAATTGAAGGAATAGTAGAGCTGAGTTTCAACCTATGAATCTTATTGCCAACCCTTCATTCTCCGGAACATCTCTGTTCAAAGTTATAATCCAGATTAGCTATATATTGTCAAAAATGTGAAGAAATTATCGGATTTGTACTAACATGCTTATCTATTACTTTATTTTTTGTTGATACTAATGTATAGATTGATGATGGCATATGCACAATCAGGGTGATTTGTAACACTAGAAGGAATTTATTGTTATTCTTTCCCCTGATTTTATTTTGATGTCCATTATGCTGAAAAATTTTCCGCTAGTTTTGTTATAAAGTTTTAATGTTTTCATACACATCCTGAAATTCTTGTTTTTTGTTAGTTTTAAATTATAAATTTTGAGAAGGATTTACTGGTTGATATTCGACTTCTTCAATAAATTTTTTTCTTCTCAAGTTTTAGTCATGAAATTACAGCCCTTTATTATGACGGTTTCACTTTTTCTTTGAAGTTATCAGCTGCATAAATCCATCATACCACTGGGTGCATAGCTCAAAGATATTGCCCTTACCTCCGATATGGCGGTTTGGATTGATTCCCACAAATAATTAAATAAATAAGCATTGAGTCAATTATTACATATTTCATTTGGAATCACATTTTTTTGTTCAAGTTGATGCAGCTGTATGGGTACTATTAAGGGGTTTTATGTTACAGGATCTTGTTGATATTGATGTCTTCATTGAGGCCAAACGGGTGATAGTTTCTCTTCAAAACAAGGAAGTAGGACCTGCTTTAATTTGGTGCTCGGAGAACAAGTCTAGATTGAAGAAATTCAAGGTATTTGAATTTATTTCTTGTTTTTGTTACTAGTTACGAGAAGGTCATAATTCCTAGGCCTGGTTCTTCCAATTGATTTTCATTGTCCTTGCTTGAGGGGATGTAGCACAGCAAATTCTACATTGGGAAGGAAATTCAAATCCCTGCCTCTCCAACTCGTGTCCTCATTTTAGGCAGAGCCAATGTTTAACTTGAGGGGTTCATACTGCGTGCAAGGGTATTAGGATCCTCACGTTGTTATTAAATACTTTATTTGTGCCTTCTCAATTGGTTGTATTTATCTAGCCCCGTAATGAGTAGTTCTTTATGTACCGAATTTAAGAATTATATGGCTTTGTCCCTGGAGCCTTCTGAACTCACACCCTTCTAAAGGATTCCTGGTAAAGGGCATAAAATGTCAAGTAAGAGGAGAAACTTGAAAGTGTAAAAATACTGAATGTAAAAAAAACAAAAGCCTATATTGATGTGAAACCATACATGCAAGGATGATTAACTTAGGGAGTTTGCACACTTAATTTTAGAAATCACAATAATTATATCTCTGTATTGATTTTGAACGACAAAAGAAAGCACAATGAGCGGTAAGACAAGTTTAGGCTAAATCACATGCATAGGTTTTAAGAATGTAAAACATTCAATTAATCTAACATTGCATACATGGAAATTTTCAACAAGAAATCCCTAGACTAACAATGAGGTTAGTACGATGAAGGATCCTTCACACAACTCTATAATTTACTAGGCTTTAGCGGAAGAGCATTAACATGATCTCCATGAATGTAATAGAACCACAATCAAGGATGCAACTATGAAAATAGAGAGTCGGGTGTCGAGTTTACCCAAAGACAAGAGAGATACGCACTCTGGCAAGGTCGTTTGAATGCTGGGGAAGAGGTGGACAGCAGTTGGAGTCTTCCGGATGAAAGATACGGTGCTGGGAAGCCTGCAGAAATCAGCGAACAGCAGTCCAGTTTCCTTGGACAGCAGTTTTTGACCTTGGAAACTCCTCAGGACAGCAAGGGTTTGGGCCTAAACAGTTGGACAGCAGGTTGTAAAAGAGCAGCCCGCAGTTTGGAGGTTTTAGGCGGTAGGAATCCAGATTTCCCTTGGCTGGAATTCTGGGACAGCAGGGGAAAACTGAACCTTTTGACAAATGGGTGTTCCGTGGAGGAAGGGAAGAGATAGGGGGAAGGGGGTGGCGGGTCCAAGGCAAGAGGGAGGGATTAATTGATGCTTATGTGGCAAGTGGAGAGAGAAAGGGAGGAGAGAGGGGCTGACCAAACAAAGGGGGAATTAAGGATTTGCTAATTAATTGTGGCTCCCATAGGATTAACTCTTGATTTAAATCAAATATGAAATTAATTCAGATTTTGATTTATTGGGAGAGTTTTCTAATTGAATTTGCATAATATGGAAAGAGTTTTGAATTTCAAAATTGATTGAATAGCAATTAAATCCCTTTCCTATTTGAGGTGAGGTATTTTAGGAAAGAGTTAATGAGGGGTTTGAATTTTGAAATTCAAAAGTCAAACATAGGAGGGAATTATTTGAGTTCAAATATTGAATTGAATTCAAATAAATAAGCTTTCCTAAATGGGAGGATTATTTTAGGAAAGTAATGAAAGGTTGATTTGAATTTTGAAATTCAAAATTCAAACATGGGAGCGAATTATTTGAATTCAAAATATTGAATTGAATTCAAATAAATAAGCTTTCCTAAATGGGAGGATTATTTTAGGAAAGTAATGAAGCGTTGATTTGTATTTTGAAATTCAAAATTCAAACATGGGAGCGAATTATTTGAATTTAAATATCGAAATGATTTCAAATAATTAAGCTTTCTTAAATGGGAGGATTATTTTAGGAAAGTAATGAAGGGTTGATTTGAATTTCAAAATTCAAAATTCATGGGTTATGGGGAGGAGGGTTGGTGGCTAATGGGAGCTAGAAGGGGCCGGTGGTGAGGGGTTTGGGGGACGGCAGGCGGCTGGTGGGTGCTTGCCGTCCGGCGGCTTAGGGAGGTGAAGAGGGGAATCGGCTAGGTGGGCTGGCCGGCGGCAGGAGGAGTGAAATAGGGTGATGGTGGTGGAGGAAGGGGGGGGGAAAGGGATTAGCAAAAATAGAAAAAGCCAGAGCTCACCTACCGGTGGGCTGTTGGGTACTCCGTTAGCCTCTCCTAGGCTTCACCACCACTCTCTCTAGAACTCACAAAGAGATCATGAGCAAAAGCTGAAATTTTCATATCAATAATCATCATCCCAAATTACAAGAGAGATGGCCTATAAATAGGCCTCATGAAAAGAAAAAAAAAACGAGGACTAAAACGATCTTCGGGCTACAACACCACATGACCACCCCTGGGGTAAAACGGGAAAACAAAAAAATTAAAATAAACTAGTACATAAGACATAAAAAAAAATAAAATAAACTCCAGATCGTATCTATTGTGACAATTAAGGTGCTTTAAAACAGTGGATGAATCTGTTTTGTATTCTGGATATGCTCTATGCCATCTAATGGTCTTCCGCTGAAAATTATTGCTGGATGGCTTAGCTTCCGGTTTGATGAAAGGGCCACTCTCTGGCTTTTGAAAAATAATAAAACTAGAGCAGTGATGGGAGATGTGGGATGAGAATAGATTATTGTGAAACTTATTTATTCAAGCATGATAACTTCTAGCTGCATGAACACACGTAGATGGTGCTTATATTAGCTGAGATTTTTAATTATTTTGTTCCTTTATATGTGAACAACTCTGCTTGATGTTATAGTCCCTATATGCCAATTGGAAGCAACAAAGTACGTTTGATCCAAAGGAGGGAAGAAGACAATGCTTATAGGTTGAGAGGGGAAGCAAATGCTATATACTCCGAAAATTTGTGCCCGGATCTTCTGAGAGAGTTTTTGTTCCCAGTTGAAAGATAGATTAAATTACATATAACACATTCCTTAAAGATTTCGCTCTCTTTTTTTTCGAGGACTTCATGATATTGTTTCAAGTTTCTTATTTGAGCAAGCCCCTGTTAATTATCTCTCTCGGTGATGAGAGAGAACTCTTGATTAAGGTTTGTTGATGGGCTCTAAGTGCGCATCATATAGTACTTTCAATTTGAATTTTAGGATTGAGAAAATGTACTATTGTTTATATAATGCGGATGGTGGGAGGATGATGACGAATCCAATTAATCCGTCATCCTTATTATCATGGACTATAGTCTACTTTATTAGAAGAATATGTCAATCCAACCTAGCTAATATATATTTATCGATGTGTTGTATCATTTTAGGGGACATTATAGAATCGAGGTGGATGTTTTCTAAGTGGACAATTTTAAATTTATTTTAGCTGATAGATGGCTTTGTATCCTATCATTTGCAATCCATGATTCACAACTCAAAGGATAGAGCCATATGAGAATATTAGAGGTTGTCATTGACCACAATCTAATGGTGTTATTTTGTGTGATATCACCAAATCATTACCATTATTAGTATTGTCTCGGCTAGGTATTGTAGAGGATGGATGAATTATTTTGTTTAGCTTGAGAGAGAGTTTTTCTCAAAATATCATAAATTTTGTAATTTTTTGATGTTTTTGTATTTGTAGTTTTCTCTCGAAACATCAAATTCTTCAGGTGCATGTTTGACTTGTATGCCTAGATAATTTGAAATATTGATTTCATAAACATCATTTTCATCTTCTTCTTTAGTTTTGTTCTCTTTTTCTGTTATTGAATAGACTTTCCTCTGAGGGTAGTATGTATAATAAATCCAAGGCCTTTAGTTATTTGACTATTGCTTTCTTGTGATGCCTATGGACTCTTATGATCTTATATTTTTTATACAATATAGCGTTCATCGTTTAATGAATTCAACATGAACTCCTTGTTTGCACGTCATTCTTCTTTAGTACTTCTGATTGGAGGTACCAAGTAAGCTAATCAAATTTACCTTGATTCTCTTAAGATTTTTTGATGCAGGACTAAGCTAAATAAGTCATGCAAATAGAGATTTAAGCTAAGTGAACATCAAAGACAACAACATAAACTTCATAAACATTAAAAACAATAAGAAAATTTGGACTAATAGATCATATGATAGTAAGAAACTAACAAGCAAAGGCTAAACAATAACAAAGGCAATTCCGTTTAGGCTAGCTTACATGGGTTGGCACAAGTCCAACATTTAATTAAGGGACTAGTCACTAGAGCTTATGTTTGCTCAAATTTAAGTAGAACTTGACGGATTAATCAACACATATGAGATGATGCTACTATAGATGAAATGAGAAGACCAATATTTAGGTAGATGAAGACAAGGGGAGGGTTTGATACTTAGCTCATGAATGGGAGGAAATGAGTCCTTGATGAAGTGACGGCTAGTTCCTCCTTGGCTCGTCCTTGAAACCCTTGGTCTTTGTTGAATCAATGTCCTTGTTGGTAGAAGCTAAGTTTCCTCAGAGAGGTAGAATAGTGAGGAGAGAAATGAAAGTTTCAGCTATATGAGGATTTGGAAGTGGAGAGCTCACTGTTTTGGGGTTTGGAGGGGTGAGCTAGGCCGGCTGCATGGGGAGGAGGAGGGGAGAGATGATTTGACTGATTTTAATGGCTTTAAAAGGGAGAATTCAGCTTAGGAAGTGAAGAGGCGAGGGCTGACTACTTGGGGAAGAGAAAGGGCTGATGTGCTTTTCTTGGGAAGGGAATTAGTTGGCTTGGGAAAGGAAAAAGTCAGCTTGGGAGGTGAAGGTGTGGGGATGGTTGCTTGGGGAAGAGAGAGGGCTGATGTGGCTTGCTTGGGAAGAGAAGTAGTTGGCTTGGGAAAGGGAAAAATCAGCTTTGGAGGTGAAGAGGTGGGGTTGGTTGTTTAGGAAAAGAGAGAGCTGATGTGGCTTGCTTGGGAAGGAAAAAATTAAAAGTGGTTGTGGATCTCCAAAGGTTACAATTAATTAAGATAAATGCTCAATTTATGAGAATTCTTTGCAGAATTTGGGAAGCCCAAGGGTTAAGGGTGTTGGGGAGAAGGTGGAAGTGGATGAGAGGAAGGGAGGGAGGTAGTTGCTGGTTGAGGGCAGCAGTTTATTGCAGCTAGGGGCGGTTTAAGTGGCTAGGGATGGAGAAAAAAAAAGTTAGAGAGGGAAGATGATACCAACCAAGAGCTCACACGTTGTTGGGTATTTCTTTGTCTTTCTCCAAAAGACTTCACACACAAACTCAACTCACAAAGAGAAGAGAAAGCATATAACTAGAAATTTATATCAAATATTTATCATCCATACAAGAGAATAATGGGTCATATATATAGGTGCAAAAAACATGAAAGAACAAAAGACAAGAATGCTTTTGGCCAAACAACACAAGCTCCCTCAAGTGAGGGTAAAACTGAAATAAAATAAACAACACTACATAAATCTCCTATAACACATGAAAACTAAAAATATAAAGACTCAATCAAGGCCGTAGATCTCCGGCCTCTACGGTGATAAACCCTCCAAGCTTTGATGTCCCCATCATTTTTATAATGAAGATCTTGGTCGGACAATCTCGGGCAAAGGAGGTACATAGAGTTTTTCAGCTCATCTACCTTGTGGACCTTTTTATGGGTTATTTCCTTAAAGTGTTTGAGGGCACAAGAGTAACCTCAAATATATATTATGAAATTTACAGACCAGTCATTCTTTTGGATGATACACATTGTATATGACAACCTCACTATTGAACTTTTGTTGCTCGCATGCATTGAATTTTAATCATCATTTCATGCATGGATAAAATTTTTGATAGTTCTCACATTATGACCCATGCAATATGAGTTTCTATCTTAAATATTTTCGATGCCCTGGCTGCATTGGCTTGGACCATTTCGGGAAATAGTTGATGGTTGGATGAGTTCAGTTTTTGCTCCAGGGGCTTCATAGCAATTTCATGCAATATCACATTCATTGTCTTCCATTTTTGTTTTATTTGGTCAGACTAGCTGTTGAATTGGTATTGATGTCAAAAAACACTAAAAGAATTGGTAATACTGAGGTGAAAGTTTTGATTCTGGATGGCACCTTAACACAATGAGAGAAGAGGAATCAATTTGTGAGGGATGAATTGGGAGAGAGAGTACTTGTTTTTCCAAGAAAGAAGCTTTTGGAAGAGATAAAAGGGAAGAGTTAGGTAGGGGGGAGTGCTTTCAACTTGTTTCTATTTCATTTGTAATCATAGTTGTAGCACATTACTAGTCCTTAGAATCCTTTATTTAGAGTGAAGTATTCATAAAATAGTCATAGGCATAACTGTGACAAGTAAAGAAACACTAGCATGGCATAAATTTGAAACAAGAATGACATACATGAAGTAACAAATGACACAATAAGTTTGTGTGTACTTTGATGATAAAATTATGCTCTACATCAACTCCCCTGGCTATGAAGTGCTCTTCCCTAGAGAGGTGAATGAATTCACATGTTTGGATTTGGTGTCCCTGGCTGAGCTGACGATGGAGCTATCTTCTGCAAAGCTTTTAATATTCCCTAAAACAAACAAGCGAAGTAGTTTGGAGGATGTAGAAGAAGTCGAAGCCCATCATCATGAACTTGTGTATCTATAAATGACTTGGTCAGTGGTGATTGTTTTGGTAACTTGGGATTTAGTATAATGACAACATTGAGATATAGGGAACCTTTGACTTTGGCGGACTGGATCCACTAGTATACTCAAGATGATAGAACAATAAGATCTTAATCAGGGCAACCTCCACCACCCTAATTATTTTCCATTTAATAAAATTCATCCTTAAATGCTCAATCTAATCCGTTCAAATGCAGCTGATAGTGGAGGATTAGAGCAATGGAATGAAGACATCTTTGGTTTGTACTGCAGAAGAGGTAATGTAAATAAACCTGACCACGGTAGGTGTTGACTGCACTTTTTGTTTTGGATCTTTGCTTTAAGGTGACCATATCTTGTCTTTTCTTTTGGAATACTGATCCTTATTTGATGGATCATGTTTTACTGATTCACTTTTAGAGCGACTCTTGAGGAAAAATAAGCTGTCAGTCTCCGTAGACTGCAAAATGATACTTGCACAGTGCATTCACACGAGCTTATCCATGTTGACTGACTACTAAATCTGAAATCTTTTGACCTGTCGTTTTAATGACCACCAACTTCTGTTCCTTTTAAATTTTAGGGAAGTTTTTGTATTGTCCTACGCTTGGCTATGCTTTGAAATGCTTCTTGAATTTTTATTTTTTGCTTGACTCCTATCATTCAACCTATTTAAACTAAAAGATAAACCAAGTTTCCTTTATTTTCTTAGAAGTTTTCAATGTTAGCAGTAGTGTGCTGATATTTTAGGGTACATTGCATCCCGTTTCTCTTCAGTTTTACAACTTTGGGATGCCCTTGTTCTTTTGAATATTCCAAACTGACATAATACCATACAAATTCTAAATGCAGAGCAGGTTTGAATTCCTGTTGAGGCATCAGGAGTTTATCGAACTTGTAAGGCTCGATGAAAGCTTGAAAGCAATTGCATATGCACGGAAGTTTCTTGCACCCTGGGCAGCCACCCATATGAAAGAACTGCAACGTGCTATGGCCACTTTGGCTTTCAGAAGTAATACTGAATGTGCACCTTACAGTGTGAGTACCGTCTATTTTTTGTTCGTGTTCTTTCTTAGTCATTCAGAAGGTATGCATTCTTTTTCTTAATAAAGGCAGACTTTCCTAGTTCTTATGTAAAATCATAAAATGACATTTGTAGCTAGTCAAAGTGCTATATCTCTCTATTTTCTTTTACTTTTCTTTTTTGTTTTAACTTCCAATTAATCTATTTTATCATGCATGAATCATACTTACCGTTTTCTTCTGATTAATTTTTTTTGCAAGATATTTGATTATTTAAAAAGTAAAATTAAAGATTTAAGAGGTGATCATATTTTCTTGTTATTTTTGCAATATTAATAAATGATTCAACATTTCTCTCTCACACGGTTGGGCTAAGAGAGAGAACTGAAACGATTCTTTGTAACAGCTTATTAGATCCAGATCTGGCAGAATCTAAATATGAGTTCTTTTGAATATTATGAATATTCGTTAGATCATATTTCAATGGATTTGATGACTTCTGTTTTATCTCTTCCTCAGTATGTGAGCCTTCTTATTCCAAATTCACCAGTTTAGGGAAAGATCCTGTTTGTTTCCTCTCTTGTAAGATTTTCCCAATGCTAAAAGATTCTCCAATTTGATTTGAAAACTGACGTGTACCCTCTGAATTAGAACTCAGAGACATGAAATTGCATGATTTGGAAGGTTTGACCCTTTTAACAGTGTCTTAAAATAAATTTGAAGTCCTTATTTATGTTTTTTTTTAAAGTCCTTATTTCTGTGTTTCTTATTTTTTTTTTGATAGGGTGAGATTAAAAGAGGTGCCAAATCCTACTAGTAGCATACTCGGAATCACCAAAACCCTAAGCAGCATATTCATTAACATTTGTAACCATGCTTTGCCATGTTCCTTTCCTGCTTATGCTCTAAGTGTGTTTTTTTTGGGTTTTCTACGTTGATGCATATCATAGGAAACTCTAGTCCCACAGCCCACAAGTTATTTGGAAAAAAAATAGGGAAAATTTAGTCCCAATTATCATGGGATCTTCAATTATTGTACTGTCTTTTGAGGAAATAAAAAAAAATCAAAATGTCCTCTCTTGCGTGTCCTTTCTTTTGTAGAGAAACAAAATTGAAAGAGAATCTTGACATACATCGTAGGAAAAAATTGTGTTGTCTTTGGTTTCTCAATTTTGTTTGGTGTTTGGCTCCTTCATTTTCAAGTTGTAAAATTTTCCATACTTTACAAAGAACTTACTAAATATCCCTTTATCAAATTATGCTTTGATTCTCTATTGTGCAACACATACACCATTAAATCATTAAAATTCTTGTCAACGTGAGAGGGGAAGCTATGATCACTAACTTTGGAGGAAGCATGTTAGACTTGGTGGTGAGGGAAGAGGGATGTTAGAGATTCATTATAGGATTTGGGGGAAGTAAACAAATCTTCAATGTTATAAGAGGAAAATCATTTATCAAGTTCGATTCCAATTAATTCACTTTTTTGTCAGCCCAAGAATCATTACTATTAGCTAAACCTGTCAATATTGGACCCGACCCAAATATTTCGGGTTTGGGTTGACCCGAACCCGAAGCTGGTCGGGTTCGGGTCCTGAAAACGACCCGTTTGAAAAATTGGGTCAGGTTCGAGTTGACCCGAGAACCCGAGAATAACCCGAAATGACCCGGAATACACACAAACCCTTGCCTGGAATGACCCTGCCCGCTTCCCACCTGCCCGGACACGTCACATCGTGTTGCGTCCCAACTCCCGAGGCCAGGTTGCATCGCATCCTGAGGCAATCACGTCCTGCATCAGTCGCCGCCTCGCAGCGTCCGCAGCAATTCCGTGCCGCATCCTGCGTCCGCCAGTTCCACGCCGCGTCCGGCAGTTTTGCGTCGCCGACATCCCGAGGCCATGTCGCGTCTGCGGGTCGGGTCGGATTGACCCGAACCCGAAGCGGGTCGGGTTCAGGTCTAGAAAATTGACCCTTTTGCAAAATCGGGTCGGGTTGACCCGAACCCGAATAGTGCTTGGTCAGTTTCGGGTTCGACCCGAACCCGTCCCGTAACCCGAAATTGACACCCCTACTATTTGCTCTTGGATAAAACACACATCCTAATATATTAAAAAATTATTTTTTATGCGACACTTTTTTCAATTTATCCAAGTCCAATATTTAATTAATGTATGACAAGCATTCATAAAATTGGTTCAAGCCAAGTCGGCCCAGCTCAAGTTAATACAAGTTGGCCTATTCGATTTCAACTCAAAAGAAAACATGTTAGTCAACAAATGCATATGTCCTAGGCAGACAACTATGGTATACGAACTCATTCACCTATGAAGTTGGCCCTAACGACTACTCAAGTGGGCAACTTTCTTCATATAAGAAACTATTGATCAATTATTTGATTATTTGTCCACCAGTTCATACCAGGCCAGAAACTTCTTATTAGCTCAACGTTCAACTTCTTTAAGCTTGACACTCTAGATATGTTGCATGGCTCTTGTATTTTTCTCTTATGTTCTATATAATCATGTATTTAGCCAATTCTATTACTATCAATTCTCAACCCAAATCTATAAATAAGAGGTAAAGAGGTGAGCATAGTTTATATAATTTTCTGTACTAAAGCTTATTTTATAAATATTCAAATCTTCTCATTCTAGAATTCTCTAGCTATCTCTCTTTTCGCTTCTTGTTCTTGTTATAGTTTGATGTGATTCAAGGTTAATTTTGGATCTAATATCCTAAAAGATGTGGTAAGCATGAAGCATGTAACAAACTAGAAGAGTAGTTGTTTGTGAAGCAGAACATCAACGCAGAGATGGAGAAGAATCCATGACTGTTGAGAATGGTCAAGAATTTGTCATGTTCAAGCAGCTTGGTGAATTTGAAAAGAGGATGACAAGAATGATCCATAAAGCATTGGAACCACTTTTGTTAACTACTCCTAGGGTGAAGTTGCCAACTGGATTATCTAATTATGTTGGAGGAAAAGGAGACTCTCTTAATCTACAACATTGACCTCTATTGTAGTGGTTGATGAGACTTACTATTCAAAGAATGAGTGGACTTGGACTATTCGTTAATGAGAAATGTAGTTTGAGAAGAGGAAGCCGTCATTAACAAATACTTGCTTAGGCTAGGCCTCAAGCAAAGTTCAAGTTTCCCTACTTTGATTCGTACAAGGGGAAGACGGATCTACCCACCACATTACTCATTGCCTATTTCGAGTTGGTCATTGAAGTGTTTATTTTTTACTACCTTCGAGTAATCACTTTTACATTGGTTCTTGCATCTTCCACTTTGTGTGGTCGCTTCATTTGCCAAGTTCAAGAGGATGTTCATCGCTCAGTTTGCCAGCACGTAAATGTCGCTAAAGAATTCACGTTTATTGTTTCTAATAAGGCAAGAACCGAGCGAATCATTGAGAAGCTTCATTACCCAATTCTAGAAAGAAATGCTGAATGTAATGGCTTAGAGTCGACTGTGGTTCGATATGCTCTAACTTATGGTATGCAAAGGGACCTTTTAAATATGTACTTGGCTTGTAGTAGCTGTGGATTTTATCGAGCCATTGGAGCTTGCCGGTAGTCATATCAATGCAGAATAGCATAACACTAAGACCAGTGCAGTTGCAACATCGAGGAGGAAGGAGAAAAATTATTAGGAAGGGAAATTACGAATTTTTTTAGAGACCTGAGAAATGAACCCATGAGTAGGGGGGAAAAGGAGATTCTATAATAATTAGAGAAGAATTGTGTACCATTAGTGAATTTGTCTCTTTGAGGCGTGAGTACGAATGAAGAGCAACAAGATGATCGTCCTGATTAGAGGTTGCTGCTGCGTCTAAATTAGCATTGGTGCAGTAGTCCCATGGAGTTCTAAGAAGTTTAGCATGAACAGTACTCTCCAGCCATCAAATTTGGTTTTCAATCACCAAGCCTGAGTATGAAGCGCCATGCAACGGCTTGAGGTTTGTAGCTGGAGTGGTTGCAAAAAATTACCAATAATCAAGCCAACTTTGAACACTATTTGTAGGCTTGAGGTTTGTAGCAGGAGTAGCTGCAAAGCATTTGATAATGTATTTTGGCTCTCAACTTGTGGTGAATCAAATCAATGAGCAATATGAAGCAAGAGAAGTTCTTCAAAATAAAAAAATTGCAATGCAAAAGATGGGATTGCAAATTTTGAGTACTTAAAAAATGAGCACATTTCGGGATATCAAAAACCAATTTGTGTTTTGCTCTCTAAATAGGTAATCCTAATGGAAGGCTTTTCTTAGAGCTCTTAGAGTTAACTCAGCCAACAATCAAAGAAGCAAAGTGATGCGGACATCCAACCGTCCATGCCAATCCGAGGAGGAGCTGAAGATCGACGACCGAGATCACTTTGTTTTATTTTCATTTATTAAGTGTATTTTAATTTAGTTTCGCAATTTCCCTTTTTACCCTCTTGTCTTATGTAAGCCCAAGGGGCAAATGTGTCTTTTAATTTCTCTTGAGGCCTATATATAGAGGCTCATTCTCTTGTATTAGGATGATGATTATGATGAATGAAAATTTCTACTTTTGATCTCTTTGTGAGTTCATATTTTCTTGATCTCTTGGTGAGTTCAACTCTCCTAGATCTCTGTGTGAGTTCTATGGAAAGCCCAAGGTGAGGGCAAACGCAATACCCGTCAATCTTTGGAAGAGTCCGAGGTTCGCGGTTCTTACGATCTCTTTGTGAGTTCGTTAGTTATCTTCATAATAGTTGTATTGTGGATAAAAATCTTATTTTCTCCCTTCATAATAATTGTATTGAAGATGAAAAAAATATTTCCTCCTTTCTTAGTAGGCCAAAATTATTTAGTTTAGGGCTCTATGAGGAGCTCATGAAGATAGCTATAATTTGACAAAAAGAAATAGGGTTTGCGCATGTATGTGCAACTAGAATGACTAAGCATATAATCAGGATAGAGTGTGAAATAGCTTTCAAATGAAACAAGTATATCCTCGTGATGATAAGGAAGATACAACAAGCTTCCTCTTACTTAATTTGACCAAGATTGGTTAAATGACCAACCCCCCAAAATAACTCTAATAACTTGGTCATGAAGGGGGTTACAAACTTCATATTTTGTTTTATTGCTCTAGATTTACCTCTCTTACTATTGAAGCTAAAAGAACTCAAACTAAGGAATGAGATGGTTAGGCTAGGAAGTTACAGTATGGTGGTTCTCTCCCTTATTTGTTATGTAGCTCATAATATTGGATGAAAAGGAATATGAATATTCTAAGGGATTCATTGCAAACCTCGGAACTCAATGTTAAGCTCTAAGAAGGATGGCGATCATTTTATATGCGTAATGAGCTTAGCCTTAATTAATGAGAAAGAGCTCACTTTTGCACTAATGAGGGACTCTTTAGGGGTTAGCCTTTGCTAATCTTAGTTATAATCAATCTAAAAAGCATTAAGATTGAGATTAGTGCTAAGAATAAGGAATCACAATGTTATTTTAAACAAAAAGGTGCTAAGGATGCTTTGGGTACTTAAACATTGCTTTTGGGCTTAACCTAATTGGGTAAACTAGCATTCATATGCTTAATTATCGCCAACAAACTAAATGATATCAAGGTTAGGTCCTAAAAAAGCTAGGAAAGGTTCAAGATCCACCAAAAGTTGCTGTTTAGACCCCTTGATTTGCTCTTCAAGACATTTAGGATCCAATCCTCTCTCGTTTCACATCACAAAGATTATAGAAGTTGACCAGGGTTGAGTTGGGTGGATGTGTTGATTGAGTACTTGATGTCGGGTAATGTCTTTGGTAAGTATGAAGGATCCAAAGTGTCTAAAAATCAAGGGGGCTCAATATCTCCTTATTGATGCTGAATTGTTCAAGAAGTTTGTGACTACTATCTACTTGAGGTGTGTAAGAGAATCTAAAATCATGATTATTCTTGAAGTTCACTCTAATGAGTGAGCTAGTCATTATGAAGGAAGAACTCTGGCTAATAGAATTTTGAGTCATGGATATTTTTGACCAATACTAGAATAGATGTAGAGGAATTTTCTATATGATGTCTTCAATTCTAAAATTTGTGCCCATGTGACTGTAGCCATCTTACAAGCTGCATTTGATTTCCAGTTCATTGCCTTTTGTGTTATGGGGCATGGATATAATCAAATCATTTCCTATTGTGGGGACAAATGAAGTTCATTTTTGTCATAATCAACTACTTCGAATGATGTATTGAGGCAAAAGCATTAACAAACACGGTTGCATAGGTGTGCACAATTTCATTTAGGCTAACATCATTTGTCGATATGGTCTTTTTATGGTGATTATTATTAATAATAGATTATAGTTCTCAGACAAGAAGATCAAAGAATTTTGTCATAGCCCAGAGAATTCGACTCAAAATGGCCTTAGGCTTCGTTTGGGATGACTTTCTTACTGCTTTTTAAAGCAGCTTTCTAGTACAATTTTTTTTATTTTTTAACTAGAAAGCAGCTTTAAGATAAAAAAACCGTCCCAAAAGAAGCCTTGTCTATCATCCGAAGATGAATGGACAAAATTGAAGTGGTGAATAAGCTAATATTAAATTTGATGAAGAAAAAGGTTAAAGGAGCAAAAAACGAGTGAGTTGAAATTTTACCCTCAATTCTCTAGGTGCAAATGACGATTCTATCATCAACAATTAGGCGCACACTCTTTGCACACTTTCACATGGAGCTGAAGCTATTTCGCATGTCAAATACAATTTGCATCCAAAGAGTAGTCGTCTCTTCAAACTTTAAAGTAGGTCTTGATGAATGGAGGATTTCTATGAAGGAGGGATGAAGCATACTCGTTCTTCCTAAAAAAAAATCATAATTCTGTCTTCGATCAAGCAAGAAGTGATAAGGAAAGTCTATAAGTACCACAATTCGCATGTGTTCGTGAAAATTTTTTCATGTAGGGAACCTTGTATCGAGAAGGTAAATATTGCAGCTTGGATAATAGTACCTGGCTAATTGTGATCTACTTGGGGGGACCTTATATCATCAAAGTACTCAACCCTAGAAATTTTTAACGTCAAATATACAAATGCAAATCAGTTTTTGAGGGAAGGACGACTAGTTGAAAACTTCTTATCCTTAAGAGATAAACTTCTTTGTACTTCTATTTTGAATATATTATCATCAAATAATGAGTGAATTTACAAAAGTATGATTCACGGATAATTCTTGATTCAACAATTATATTTTTTTTCCCTTTAATTCCGTGCAAGGCATGAGAAAATAGCTAATAGAGGAAGAGTGGAAAACCGGTGTCAACTAGATTGCATATTTATACGTTCACTGCTTTACTAAAAACTATTTAGATCGGTTATGTGAGTTTTTCTTATAACTATCTCCATGTTCTTCCAATATTTAATTTTAGTATCCCTCGATTTTCTTTCATAATATGGTTTTTCTGAATGGGTTGTATTAGGTTTTGTTTGAGGCAAAGCAATGGGATCATCTTGTTGAGCAATTCAAACAGGAATTTTATAAATTATTTGGCATGACCGTTGAGCCCTTGTTGAACATCTATCTGCAGGCAGGCTTGTCAGCTCTGAAGACCCCGTATCCTTATATTTTCAGCTGTTTGATGCCATTTTCATATTCTCACTAATGCTTTATGATATAAGATTATCATAAAGATTTAAAGTTAATTTTATAAAATTGCAATAGATCTACTCTACTGTATTGATCCTAGTGGAAGGTAGGCTGATAAAACGTCATTAATGGACAAATTAAGTGTGACAAATGAAAATTTTATGATAGAAAAGAGTTAAATTTAGAAAATATATATTAAAAAATATTTATATTAGAGGATACCGTAAGTAACACTTATCAAAGATCAAGGAAATATGGACTCTGATATAGTATGTTAATGATAAAAAAATCACCTGCTGACTTAGCATCCAAAAATTTAGACGAAAAAGACGTAGACAACAGGTGAACATATAATATAGAGATTTAGATTTTGTTTGGGATGGTCTTTTTAGTGCTTCTTAAAGTAGTTTTCAAGTACAAAAATTAATTTTTTTACTAGAAAGCTGTTTTAAGAAGCAGTAAGGAAGTCTGTCCCAAACGAAGCCTTAGCCGAAAAAGACGTAGACAACATGTGAACAGGTAATATAGGCAGAGTACCATAAAAAGATTTTTGCAATGTTGATCTAAAGAAATGAGTGAAGAGCAAGGATTCACATGGTGATCCCAAATAGTTGGGATAAGGCTAATGATTCAAATTTTTTCCTTATTGGTTTTTGCTTCTATGATCTTCATTCTTAACCACACTGTAAGATTCTGCTATGAGGAGGGCTGCCCTAAAGAAGACCCACTGTCACAGGAAAGCTTTCGTAAACTTGCAGAACCACTACCATTCTCAAAGCAACACCATTCTAAACTAGTCTGTTATATAACCAGAGAGGTTATGGATTCAGAGAACCCACCCCTTGTATTACCAAATGGCTATGTTTACAGCACAAAGGTTCATGAAATCACTTCATCATCCATTAAGGCTTCGTTTGAGACGGCTTTCTAACTACTTCTTAAAGCAGCTTTCTAGTAATTTTTTTTACTAAAAAGCTGTTTTAAGAAGCAGTAAAAAAGCGTCCCAAACGAAGCCTTGATCTTCAAAATAAGTTAACAATACTAAAAATCCACGCTTCTGTGATTCTATCTCAGGCTCTTGAAGAAATGGCCAAGAAGAACAATGGCAACATCACATGCCCTCGAACTGGCTATGTTTGCAGCTACGCTGATTTAGTGAAGGCCTACATCTCTTGAACTGTGCAGAACTCGTCCTCCTTACAGGAAGATTTCTTTGTTGTACAAAGCATACTATGTAAGATTATTTTATGGCCCTTTGCCTCTGTAATTTACACTGCAGCTTAAATAAGAAATACTGTTTGGTTGATTACTATTTGAAATCAACTGGCACTGAATTTAGCTGCTCAATCACATTTTAGATGTTGGTCTCAATGACCTTATTCTAGGAAGAAAATGTTTTTTTTTTTTACTGGGGTATGTCATTGAATTTCTATGTATTTATATATCTAACATTTAATTTTTATATATTTTTTATATAACACTCAAATATTTAATTGATATCAAAACATATGTATGAAATATATTTTTTATTTTATATAAATTAATAAATTTTTATATCATTTAAAGATTTGAGTTATATATATTGATATCAATTAAAAAGATAAAGAGTATTTTTGTTTATTTATGAAATATGGTTCTTATCTCTTTAGTATGGAACCTTGCAAGTTATCATTTGCTGAAACTGGGTCAGTAGAAGGGAGATTTGTTAGACTAGTGCATTTGTCTTATTGCATGCGTTGTTGGTCCAGTGTATGATATTTATATTTTTTAGAGCATCATATTTGGAAATTTATTTTTGACTAAGGTTTTGTTTGGGACGACTTTTTTGTTGTTTCTTAAAGCAGTTTTTTAGTATAAAAATTAAAAATTTTATGCTAGAAAATTGTTTTAAGAAGCAATAAGAAAGTCGTCCCAACCGAAGCATAAATTAATCTCAATAATGGATAATACTTTGTGTTCAAGAAGTGAGTATTAGACTCAGAGATTCAAATTTGATTTGATGATTTGTTCAAAGTTAAACGGTATGACAGTTAAGTTTTCTGCTTTAGGTTTCATTTGGGACAACTTTTTAATACAAAAAGTTTTTTGAATTACAAAATTTTAGACTAAAAAGTCATTTTAGAAAGCAGTATGAAAGCTGTCTCAAACGAAGTCTTAATCTTGTGAATGATTCTTGCTTCTGTTGTCGTGCAGATAGCGATATAAGCCAATCTCTGAAAGTAATGATGAACTCCTCTCAAGTTTGTCTACTTGAGCGTCACTCATTAGTTGGGCTGTCAAACTAGTAAATTGTATCATATTGTCAGAACTTATTGAGTTTATTGTGTTCTTCTCATTTGGTATATCTTTCAGAGATGGATCTTTTGAACTCAATACAATTCTCTTTCCTAACAAATGATAATTCAATCAAACATATGCATGTAATTATGAATCCAAAATAAATCCACATTAGAACTATCCAATTACTACCCATCTCAGTCAATAATTAGTAACAATATTAGTATATATCCTCAGTGTTAGTTGCAATAACAATTATAATAACAATAATCACTAATCAATAACAGTAGTTAATATCAATACAATCATAATATAAGTAACAATATTCAGATATTTAGAAGAATGTATTTTGATCTTGCTCATACACTCATAACTATCAATTAGTCGCCTCTTATGTCTCCCAATCACTGTATTCCTTACAATTCTCTTTGAATCATGTGAATTAATATTAGAAACATCTACGTGATTAATAAGATTCTAGAGATGACCATTACAAGTTCAAGTGGTGTCTCCCGATACAACACTTTGTCCTCCATAGGATTCAAGAGGTGACTCCAATAGCGTATTACTTTGTCTTTGAGGACACTTAATTCCCATCTTTTGGCTCATATATACCTTCAAGCGAGTTCTTACATTGAAAATTAAAACTTCAAGCGAGTTCTTACAAGAAAGTTTGATTATATAATGTCGGATTATGCATTTGAATTTTACATATGATACCATGCTCCCAATCATGTGTTCATATTCATTTACATCAATAGTTTCAGTCCATATCACATTTTCAGTATTTTCATATCAAATTAAAGTACTTTCAATACATTTTCAGTATATCTTTTTCTCACTCGTTTTGCCGAGAATTATCTATACATATATTTAATTGATGAAAATATAATGAAATCATATCAAATTATTCACAATGATCAAATATATAACATATCAAAAGTTATATGATGAAAGCTCACAAATTTAAGTGACAATAGATTTTTTGATAGATTTGTGAGATATAAATTCGTAGAAATTAAAATATTTGATAACATAAACAAGAGATTTGTTACTTTCAATGAATATAATAATTTTTCATAAAAAGGTTACACACAAAAATGAAAAATGTCTTGATAGAATTTCTCTCTCCTCTCTTCTTTCTCTTAGGCTTCGTTTGGGACGGCTTTTTCATTGCTTTCTAAAACGGAGTTTTAGTACAAAAATAAAAAAATTTGTACTAAAACTCCGTTTTAGAAAGCAATAAAAAAGCCGTCCCAAACGAAGCCTTAATCACTCCTTTGGTTTTTTCCCAGCCAAGTAAAGAGAATGAGGGTGGGTGAGGGATAATGTCATATATATTTAGAATTAAAAAATATAAAAATAATAGTAGTGGCCTAGCACCAAGACTCTCGGACCCAATGCAGCGGTGTCGCATTTTGAATCCAGAATTACTGTAGAAACATAGGTTTCAATGCCACTCCGACATTTTCTAGAGTCGTTGCGCTCAAAGGCCAATATCTTAACCCTCACAATCTCAGCATCGTAGTGCTACAATTCAGATAAATTTTTAAATATGCTTCCATATTTTGTGTTGTTACGATATTCATATGTAATGTAATAATAATAATAATCAAGATAGGATATTTGACACAAATACTGTTTTCCATATCAACTATTGTAAGTCCTCTAGATCACAAAAAAATCAAGCTCAATCATATAAATCATGTGAACATAAATCGGTCTCATCTATCACATGTCACAAGTTAAGTAACTTCATGTAAGAAGTCATCACTTACTGCCCGTCAACGTGTCATATTATATTAGTCAATTTCCTTATACACCCATTTTCATGTCTTTTAGGATCACACCACAAATTTTATTTATAGAAAGGCCTTTTGACCCACCGTCATATGCATGATAATATGTCTTTGACCATCCTAAATCAATCAATTATTTTCAATCAACCTTTCTTGCTTTTAGACATATGTCATATCATGTATATTATAGTACACATCCAATGCAATTATCATAGCATGTATATTTATCTAGTGTGCTCATCAGTGTGCATGTTATGCCAAATGACAAGTAATTTTATGCATATCATGTATTTCATACTCAGATTAATATGTTGACTATTGATCGTTTTATACTTTTTATTACTTTGCACATTTCAAATGAAATTATATATATATATATATATATAAACCAGTAAAATCACAACATAAGCATGCCAAAATGTTTTGGATAATGATATTTACCATATATCAAAATGTACACTGTGTGAACGGTCTGTATTAGAAGATAATATATTTTTATCAAATTTAGGAGAAATAGAATAGTTAAATTCAAAATCATCAAAACAGAGTTAGGGTTAAGATTACCTATCATGATCAGAAAAACTTTTGGAATTGGAGCAATAAAAAATACTAGCTTTCTATCTCCTCCTTTCCTCATCCCCTTCTCCCCTATCTCACTCTGCAATGCAATGGGATCAGGGGCGGAACCGGTCTTGATTCTTAGAGTGGCAAATTTATAAATAACACATATACAAAATGTGCTTAATTCTGCTAGGGGGCAACTACCTAAAGATAATAATATTTTAATTTTTTAGGGGGGATTACCTAAAAACTCCTATAATAAAGAGTAAAAAAAGGATGAAAAGAAACATATTATCTAAATATCAATGTAATAAACAAATTTTTACTTTTTTTAAGGGGGGGAGGGCGCAATTGCCCCCTCCCCCTGGGGGGCTAGGTGGTTCCGCCCCTGAATGGGATGGGGGTGGTGAAGATTTTTTATAAATGGAATAAGATATTTTAAAAATAAAATAAAATTTGTGATGTTGCATCACAGTGCTCAAATCTTCAGTGTCACAATGCTTCATTAAATTGCTAAATGTTCGAGAGCCTAACACGCAGTGAGTTAATCCCAATGCCGTTGCACTGGTCAATCCATAATCCTTAGATGGAGAAGACAAAGCCATTGCACTTGAAATCAATAAACCTTTTAAGTCTAGATAACCAAATAGATAAAATCAATAACTCTTTAACAACTAGTCATAAACAACGATAAAAATTTTCTCGCAAAATTATAATAGTTAGTGTGGTGAAAAACTTTGAAATTAAAACTTCAAGCGAGTTCTTACAAGAAAGTTTGATTAAATAATTCCGGATTATGCATTTGGTTTTGAAATTTTTTTATTGAAATAATTTTTTTAATAAAAAATTAAAATAAATAATCTTTTTGTTTAATACTAAAATTATAGAAAATTTCTTAAAGAGAAAAGAATAAGAATGAGGAAGGCCCGCAAAGCAACAGACCAAAGCCTGACGGCTTGACGTTCCATTTCACTTCAAATCGCCGTCGTCTTTTCAAATCAGCCGAGCCAGAAAGCTTTCGCTCCTCACTGTTTCTCTGTCTCTAATTCTTCGCAACACAGAGATACATAGACGAAGGCGAAGAGGTTTCTGGGGAAAAGAGGCGGGTGCACGGGAAACAGAGACGAAATGGGCCATACGTCGGTGCCGGCGGCGCCGTCGGTTCCGCCGCCGCTGCCTGGAAGCTGCCAGGTCCGGTGTGCGCGTTGCCACGAGATCCTCACGGTGGCGCCCGGAATAACGGAGTTCAGTTGCCCCAAGTGCCAGTTACCGCAGATGCTGCCGCCGGAGCTCATGTTGACCGGAGGAGCCACCCGCCGCCAAACTCCGCCAGCGCAGGGCATCGATCCGACCAAGATCCAGCTCCCCTGTGCCCGCTGTAAGGCCATCCTCAACGTACCCCATGGCCTCACCCGCTTCAATTGCCCACAGTGCGGCGTCGACCTCGCCGTCGACCTCAGCAAGCTGCACCAGTACTTCTCATCCGTCGGCTCCTCTTCGATCCCCGGAGTTCCCCAGGACTTGCCTGAAGAGACCAACGAGGTAATTCAATAACAAACTCTTTCTCTGTCTATCCTGTTTTGTTTTGTTTTGATTATGCCCGGGTTTTTATTGGGTTTTAATTAGGTCATCTGCTAGTTCGAGTTCTAATTATTTCCGATTTTTGCGGTTTTATTGCTATTTCGAGGGCTATGCTCTAATTTGAGGTGAATTCGCGGGCTAATTAGGTACGGG